TCAGCCTCTCTGCTCCTATGATGCTGCTTGGCCTGCTGTGTTCATCCAGCCCTGCACCTTGTTGTCTCGGATTCTCCAGCATCTGCAGTTCCTACTATCTCTTTATAAGCTATTGTTGCTTCACTGCTCTGTCAGGGCTCAATACTGACCCAGGCCCTAGAGGTATAGGGAGAATTCACTCAGTGACTTAGAAACATAAGCTGTGCTTTGAGCGTCTCAGCACACAAATCCTGGATCCTTTCTAAATTTATCATTTTGTGACAAATCTAACATTTGTCATCCATCCCTAATTTGCCTTGAACTGTCAGCCAGGCCATTTTATAAAAGACCGAGAGAGCATAGATTTAAAGTGATCTGTAAAAGAAGCAAAGATAAAGTGAGGAAAACCTTTTTCACTCAGCGAGTAGTTAGGGTATGGAATATACTGTCTGGAAATGTGGTACGGGCAGGTTCAACTAATGCATTCAGGAGAGCATTGGACAATAATTTGGATAAGACAATGTGCAAGAGTATGGAGAAAAATGGGAGATTGACACTATGTAATGATGCTCGTTTAGTAGCACATCTGTGTTTCAAAGGGCAATTGACAGTTAACGTTATGGCTGTGGATCTGTGTGGCAGACCAGTCATAGGGTCATACAGCACGGAAGCAGACCCTTCGGTCCAATCAGTCCATACTGACCGTAATTCCAAACTAAACAAGTCCTACTTGCCTGCTCCTTGCCCTTATCCATCCAAACATTTCTTATTCCTTCCACGAGCTAGGAAAAATGTCTTCACTCAAAGGGTGGTGAGTCCATGGAATTCTCGAGCACAGTAACTTGGTCTCCATAGCTTTCTTCCTTTTTTAACTCATTCATAAGATATGAGCGTTGCTGGCTGGCCAGGAGTTATTGCCCATTACAGCAGCAAGACCTGGACAACATTCAGTTTGGTCTGATAAATGGCAAGTAACATTTGTGCCACATAAGTGCCAAGCAATGACCATCTCCAAGAGACAATCTAACCATTGCCCATTGACAATGGTATTACCATCACTGAATCCCCCACTATCAACATTTTTGGGGTTACCATTGACCATAAACTCAACTAGACTTGCTATATGAATACAATGGCTACAAGAGCAGGTCAGAGACCAGGATTCACCTCCTGATTCCCCAAAACCTGTCCACCATCTACAAGGCACAAGTCAGGAGTGTGATGGAATACTCCCCACTTGCCTGGATGAGTACAGCCCCAACAACACTCAAGAAGCTTGACACCATCCAGGACAAAGCAGCCCGGTTGATTGGCACTACATCCACAAGCATCCACCACCGACGCTCAGTAGCAGCAGTGTGTACTATCTACAAAGATGCACTGCAGAAATTCACCAAAGATCCTCAGACAGCACCTTCCAAGCCCTCAACCACTTCCATCTAGAAGGACAGAACAGCAGATACATGGGAACACCACCACCCTTAAGTTCCCCTCCAAGCCACTCGCCATCCTGTCTTGGAAATATATCGCTGTTCCTTCACTATCGCTGGGTCAGAATCCTGGAATTCCCTCCCTCATGGCTGGAATGCAGCGGTTCAAGAAGGCAGCTCACATCACCTTCTGAAGGGCAACTAGGGACGGGCAATAGTCAGTGCACGACGTCTACATCCCATGAATGAATGCATTTAAAAAAATGCCACACTAATGCCCCACGCACCCCTTCCCATGACCACCACCTGCCCCAAGTGTTACAGAGCCTGTGGTAGTCACATTGGTCTGTATAGCCACCTACGGACTCGCTCTGAGAGTAGAAGAGAGTCATCTTGGTCTGCAAGGAACTACTGATGATTATGATATTGTTGGAGGTGCCATGTTTTGGAGGGGCCTTAAACAGAGGACCCATCTGTGCATTCAGATAAATATCAGCCAAACAAGGGAGTTTGCCTGGCCCATATTCATTTGTGATCAACTTCACAATGAGGTTACCTGGCTATTATCAAATTGTAGTCAAATTGGCAGCTGCATTTCCGAGATTGCAACAACTGGTGTTTTAAAAGTATTTAATTATCTGCAAAATGTTTTAAGACATCCTGTGATCTTGAAGGGTGCTGTATAGATGTTTGTTCTACTTCCTCAGAGCTTAGGAAACAAGGAGCTGCCATTCAGCCCTTCGAACACGTTTCCTGTTGGATCTGTGTTATGGCTAATCTCAGCAACATGACAAGTTGAATGTGAAATTTCAATTGTCCGATCTAAGTGAAGATTTAGGCTCACTGCTCCCTCTCCTCCTCAGTGATTCACTTTACTAACCTCAGCCGGGACTACTAAAGGGTTAGCACCAAATGATCCCATTGTGTACAGAGCTGCAGTCAGTTTGGAAAACAAAACACTGAGTAACTTCAGTAAAGAGAATCAAAAAGTTGCAAGTTGACCGCGGTAACACTCCCTTGTCAAAGTGTGTTATTAGAAATAATGAGATGCTTTTTCCAAATTACCCTCATTAATTAAGATTTATGCGCAAGAATCTCCCCTCTAGTTCCTGCAGAAAGACGTTGATAATTGGATAAATGAATAGCCACAAGCATTTTCTTGCAGTTCTCAAACTAAATATTCTATAGCCCGCATCGCTATTACTCAAAACGTCTCATGATTAACCACTGTGTCATCAGCACATTAGACGCAGACCAGACTTTGTTCGCATCACGGTCCATTTTCTACACATTTTCAGAATGGATTTTCCTGTCCTCCAGAACGCTGCAGAAGCAATTTTGGAATAATGAAACTGTATCTGTGTGTTCAGTCCTGCATACAAGGGGAAGAAAAATGGTTAAATAGAGTATCTCTGTTTTTCTCTTTGCTGTTTTTTCACTCTAGTCTGTCTGAATATCTCTCTCTTTCTGTTTGTGTGGCTCATTAGCTGTTGGGCCTGCGTTGTTTGTTCTCTCCATCTCTCCCTGCTTTCTCATTCGATCTGTCTGTCTCTCCATTTATTTGTGACTTGCTATCTTCTGGATCCCTGTCCTGATTCACTCTGTCTCTCACTGCCTCCCTCGTTCTGGTTTTCACTCCCTCTGTCTATATCTGGGGTTCCATATCCCTCTAAAATTAAATAACTCCGTAGAGGCTGGTATCCTGTCACCATGTCACCCTTTATTTACATGTGCACAGTACATGGACTCTGACCAGCTTGTTCAGAGCCAGTCCCTACAGTCAAGAGAATCCCTGAGACTCCTGTTTATATCTGTCAGCCAGGGCTCCCTGTTTGGCCCAGGTTAATAGCCCCAATCAGGGAACTCATATTCAGTGGATCCACCTGGCCAACCTCAATCTAATCACTACAAAAATAAAACAAGGAACTGCAGATGCTGGAGAACTGAAACAAAATCAGAACTTGCTGGAGAAATTCAGTAGGTCTGGCGGCATCTGTGGGAAGAAAACAGAGTTAATGTTTTGAGTCCAGATACTCTTCATCAGAACTATTGTGGGGCTGGAGGAAGATACATAGATAGGGAGGGGTGAGGACATGGAGGACTTTGGAAACCAGGATCAGAATGACAAATATAACATACTTTTATCACCATTTGCCAGTAATTCATTGTGAGTGAAGTCTTTCCAAGATGTTCCTGACAGACATGAAAGTTGCTCGATGAAGGCATTTTCTTCATTGAATGTGAAGATATATTACAGTGGAATCTTTCAAAGCTGTTGGAAATTTAAAAGATTGTCTTCTGATTTTTAAGGTGGTTGGTCGGTGTGGAGTGAATGGAGCCTGTGCAACGAGGAAGACACACAGTTCCGCAGTCGCCGATGTGAAACTCTGAGTCCAGGGGCAATGCAATGTGTGGGGAACGGCACCCAGTTTCGGCCGTGTCTCTATAATGAAATTCCAGGTGAGTGTTGTCGTGAACTGTCCCATGTTGTTCCTCGGAATAGTGGAAACTTAGTTTGAGAGAAAGATTAATTGTCCAATCTTCCTGCACAGAGAACATCTGCAGTTCTACCTGATGTCACTCAATGTCCTAGTGACTGGTTAGCATCAGTCCTCAGACTGGCTGGCTCACTCTCCTCACTACTCACTGTACTATCTTTCTTCTGAACTAATGATTGTAACGACCTCAGCATCATCCAAATGGAAATCCACTCTTCTTCTTCACCAGACATTGATCTGACAGCTTCAGAAAGAAACCGTCTGGTCATAATCACATCACTGTTTGTGGGATCTTGCTGTGTGAAAATTGGCTGCTGGCTTTTGTACATAACAACCTTAATTATGCTTCAGAAGTGCTTCATCTGCTGTTAACTCGCTTTGAGACATCTGGTGGCTGTGAAAGGCACCATATAAATGCAGGTCTTGAGGTGGCATAACCTATAAGGCTACAGACTTAAAGCTGAAAGGCAGTTAGCCCTTCCTTTGGCCAACACAGTCTGAATGGGCTGAGTGACCTGCTTCTGCTTTGTGAGCCTCTCGACGTTTCACTGCAGTCCATGGGATCTTGTTGTGTTGAATTAGTTAATGAGAGAGACTGAAATTCAAAGTTTGTCATATTCATTCTGAGAGCTTATTTCTGAGAGACAGGATTGCATGTTACAGTAAGACGTCTCTTTAACCAACCTGAACAGCAACCTAATCCCTTGTATTTTCAAATTAGTGACCGCCCTACAGATTGTGATTGGGAGCCTAACACTCAAAACCCATTGTATTTTTGATACAGAAAACGCTCCTATTTCAGGGGCTGTGGGCGACTTCCGTGAGATGTTATGAGCCAAACATGTTGGCAAGGAAGTCACAATAAGGGCCCAGACCAGAACGAGTAAAACAGTTGGATTTGTTTGACAGTCTGACAGCTCCATTTTGCTTTATTTTTATTCTTTCATGGACAGTGGGCATTGGCTGGGATTGGCAAATTTGTTGCCCTTCCTGAATTGCCCTTTATCTGAGTGGCATACCAGGGCCATTACAGAGGACAGTTGAGAATCGACTGCAGTGCTGCGGGTCTGGAGTCACAAGTAGGCCAGGCCAGACCAGGTCAGGACTTCCTCCTCCAAAATGCCATTAGTGAACCAAATGGGGTGTTTTTTATGGCAACCAATGATGGTTGTCATGACTACCATTACTGAGACTAGCTTCCAATTCTGGAGTAATTGATTCAAGTCAACGCATGGCACGGTGGCTCAGTGGTTAGCACTGCTGCCTCACAGCACCAGGGACCCGGGTTTGATTCCACCCTCAGGCAACTGTCTGTGTGGAGTTTGCATGCTTTCCCCGTGTCTGCGTGGGTTTCCTGCGAATGCTCCGGTTTCCTCCCACAGTCCAAAGATGTGTAGGCTAGGTGGATTGGCCATGCTGCGTTGCCTGTAGTGTTCAGGGATGTGTGGGTTATAGGGGAATGGGTCTGGGTGGGATGCTCTGAGGGTTGGTGTAGACTTGTTGGGCTAAAAGACCTATTTACACACTGTAGGGATTCTATGATCAAGTGCTATTGTGGGAATTGTATCCATTACAAGATGATCAGAGGATTAGATAGGGTGGACAGTGGGAGCCTTTTTCCTCGGATGGTGATGGCTAGCACGAGGGGACATAGCTTTAAATTGAGGGGTGATAGATATAGGACAGATGTCAGAGGTAGGTTCTTTACTCCGAGAGTAGTAAGGGCGTGGAATGCCCTGCCTGCAAAAATAGTAGACTCGCCCACTTTAAGGGCATTTAAATGGTCATTGGATAAACATATGGATGATAATGGAATAGTTTAGGTTAGATGGGCTTCAGATTGGTTTCATGGGTCGGTGCAACATCGAGGGCCGAAGGGCCTGTACTGCGCTGTAATGTTCTGTGTTCTATGTTCTATGTCCCTATCCCATTTAGCCTGGATTATTAGACCAGTGACATTACTATGGCCACATTGATACCTGCCTTTTTATTTCCAGATTTTTTTTTGACTGAATTCACTGAATTCCAATCTTCAGATTGCCAATGGTGGTAATTGAACTTATAGTCTCAGGACTTCCAGACTTCTTGATCACTCAACCAGCAACATAAGCAATGCACTGATGTGACTTTTGTTTGAGATTTAAGAATCTAGCGCTGTTGGGCTTTGAGGTATCACTACTCTGAGGTTAAATATTACTCTTGTTCTCTCCTGCAGTGATCCAATCAGCTATTGGGAGTGATAGCAGCTGTGGAGGTGAGTCCCGGCAGAGAGTCATGAAAGATTGGGGCATTTTTTTACCAGTAAATGCTGAGACTGCCCCAGAACTTTCCATAATAATTCTTTACTTGGTTACATTATTATGTCTCATTTCCAGTGAGATCAATATATTTAATTCCCAGATTCATCAGTATCTTTCATTTGCAGGCACATCACAATCTGCTGTTTCCAGGTTTCTCACTGGTTCCCACTCCCAGTTACGTCACTATCTCCCATTCTCAGCTACATCGGGTTTCATGCTGTAATGCCTGGAATGAGTGAATTGCATTATGAGAAAAGGCTAGGCCTGTATCCTCTGAAGCTTAGAAGAATCATGGGTGACTTAAATAAAACATATAAGATCCTGGGTGACTTGACTGTGTGAATGTGCAAAGTATGTTTCCTCTTGTAGGAGAAGCTACAAACAGGGGTCATAGTTTAAAAATAAAATGTTGCCCATCTAAAGAAATGAGGAAAATCTTGTTTCTCTCAGAGGGTTTGGAATTTCCTTCCCCAAAAGATAGTGGATGCAGATATGTTTAAATAACTTTAAGGCAGAGGTAGATAGATTCTTGATTATCAAGGGGATGAAAGGTTATCAGGGATGTGCAGGAATGTAGAGTTGAGGTTAAAATCAGATCAGCCATAATCTTATTGGAGGGAAAAGCAGGTTCAAAGGGTTGAATGACCTACTCTTGTTGATATGTTTCTCACTTTCTCCCAATGCAGACCATTTGGGATCATAAAATGATACAGCGCAGAATGAGATCAGTTGGTCCATCATATCCATCCCAGCTCAAGCAAAAACAATCAAGTTAGTCCCACTCGGAAGCTCTCTCACTGTTGCCTTTTCCTCACATCCCTGCGTTCTTTTTCAGTAATCTGTCCAATTCCCTTTTGATAGCTGCTACTGAATCTTTATTCATCAGCCTATTAGACAGTGCCTTTGTAAACCTACCCATTCAAAGCATAAAGAAGTTTATTTCCACCTTTGTTTCACCTGTGGTTCTTTTACCAACCACCTCAAGTTTCTGCTGCCTGGTTACCAACCTTTACTCAGTAAATGAGGTTCCTCTGGTTTTACTCTTACTAAACCTGTCATGTCAAACATGTTGAACCTGTACTCATTGAAGGTTAGAGGAATGAAAGATGATCTTAATGAAACATCAAGATCGAAGGGACACAGTTTCAAAATAAGGGTCTCCCATTTAAGTCAGAGATGAGTAGGACTTGCTTCTCTCAAAGGGTCATTAAACTTTGGAATTCTTTCCCACAGAGAGCAAAGGAGCTGGGTCAGTGAATATGTTTGGAGGGATATGGGCCAAGCACAGGCAGGTGAGACTAGTTTGGTTGGGGAACTTGATCGGCATGGGTTGATTGGACTGAAGGTTCTGTTTCTGTGCTGCATGGCTCTACATTCAAGACTGAGCTGGACAGATGCTGCATCTACAAGGAAAATGAGGATTATGTTGCAGGGAGAGGGTGGATAAGCAGGAAAGTGGATTTAAGCCCACAATCAGTTGACTCATGATACTGAATGGTGGAAGAAACTCAAAAGGGGGAATGGCCTGTTGCAGCTCTTATTTATTATGTTATGTGTACCTGAGGATTAGTTTACAGAGAGAGGACTCAGGAGACAATGCTGTGTACTTAAGGATTGAGTTACAGGGTGTTACAATAATGCTTCTACCTCACAGCAATATGTCTTATGAGTTGGATGAATGATAACTCATGGCTGAGGAGCATCATGTCCTGGCTGTGTTCTATTATAGTATGGTAGATTATGACTTTAAGTCTGGTGTAGCTCTTAAAATCCTAACCATTCATTCATTCAGCCTTTAGTGTCTACCACCTGATTGCCACTGGAGTTTCCTGCTTCCTGGGTGCTACCCTCATCACCCTGCTAATCTATGCGTACTGCCAGCGATGTCACAGACAATCTCAGGAGTCCACTGTCATTCACCCGACCACTCCCAACCATCTGAATTACAAAGGAAGCAGTCAGGGTAACAAGAATGAACTGTACAATCCAATGGAAATCAAGGTAATGGGGTTTTGCATTTGGGTGACCGATTCTAAATTCACAAATCCAGTTCTCTAATTTGGGCTGACCTGTTTGTGATTTTTTTTTTCTCCCAATTGCTTTGAAACTGACATTTTGCATTTCCCCTACAACACTTCTGTCATGTTATTATTGAGCAATGACAAGACCGAATCATTCTGACCCAGTAGCAGGCCATTCAGCCCATCAAATCAATGTTATCTGTCTGTACAGCATTCCCCTGCTCTATTTTTTTTTCCTTTATTCATTAACGGGATGAGGGCGTCGCTGGCTAGGCAGCATTTATTGCCCAACCCTAATTGCCCAGAGGGCAGTTGAGAGCCAACCACATTGCTGTGGGTCTTGAGTCACATGTAGGCCAGACAAGTAAGGATGGAGGTTTCCTTCCCTAAAGGACATTAGTGAGCCAGATGGGTTTCTCCAACAATTGACAATGGATTCATGGTCATCATTAGATTCTTAATTCCAGATATTTATGTTATCTGGGTCTCTGGATTAACAGTCTAGCGATAATACCACTAGGCCTTCATCTCCTCCTCTCCATAGCCCAGCAGGTGTATTGTATTTTCCTCAAATGTCCATCCAATTTTTTTTCAAAATCATTCATTGGCTCTGCCGCCACCAAGCCCCTAGGCATCATGTTTCAGGCCATTCTGCCCATGTTGGTGGGTCCAGTGCATGCAGCAGCAAGGCAGTGGAGTGTTCCTTTGAGGCTAGGATTGGGTCAGAAAGACTTATATTGTGAACTTTTTACTTCTTTATTTTTATAATTTATTCCTATGACCTATAATGCTGGACTATTTAATTCTTTACTTTTCTAATTTTTTTCGTTTCCTAAGAATTTTATCTTAAGTATTTGTACCTAGGTACCTTTGTATCTAAGATTGTGCTGTAATGTGGCAACTGTAAGCTTTTCACTGTACTCATTTCAGTACATGTGACAATAAAGCTAAATTAATTCAATTCAATACAATTCAATTCAATCCAACGCAATTCAATTCAATTCAGTTCAATTCACTGTCCTTACCCTTAATCTGGTAATCACTAGTGCTCGCGCCATCCTTGAATGGGATGGGTTTTCTTTGATGAAGTCAGGTTCAATCAAGTCATTCAAAAGGGAATTGGACTGTCCTGTGAAAAATGTGCAGGTTTGCAGGGAGTTAGGGGGAAAATGGATGGAGTGAATTGCTCGTTTGGAGAGTCAGTATGGACAAGATGGGCTGAATGGCCTCCTTTTGCAATGGTCCCGTGATGTTGCTGGAGAGCATTGAAGGTAAGTGTTGTTTGGTCATCTCTTGAAAGATACAATCCAGAAGGAGGCCATTTGGTTCATCATGCCAAAGAGCGATCCAATGTACTGTTCTCCTCCTGCCCTATCCTAGCACACCTGAAACTGTTTCCATTTCTGAGTATCTATCCAATTCCCTTCTGAAAGTTATTACTGAATCTGCTTTGATTGCAGATCAAATCAACTGACTGCCTTAAAAATAAGCCTTCTCATCTTCTTTTGCCAATTATCTATAATCTGAATCTTTAGGATTACTGGCTCTCTTGTCAGTGAAGACAGTTTTTCCTCATCCATGTATCAAGACCCTTCACAATTTTGAATAGCTCCACGCAGCTTTCTGTGTTCTAAGGAGTGCAATCACAGCATCTTCTCACTATTCTCGTGTCGAAAATTAATTGGGTTTGAATCAGTATTTGAGTTGAGGTCAGCTCAAGCCTGGCCCCCTCACCTTACTCATAGTAAGCATTTGCAGAACTTTGCTATCTTTGGGCCAATGATCATTAGAGAGGCCTAAAGAAGAAGATAAGGGAAAGAGCAGGGGAGGTAGTCATAACTGGACTGAAGGTATTATCACTGCACTGTTAATCCAGAAGACCCAAGTAATGTTCCGGGGACTTGGGTTCCATTCCTGCCGTGGCAGATGGGTAGAATTTGAATGCAATTTTTAAAAGCCTTCTGGAATTCAGAGTCTAATGATGACCATGAATCCATTGTCAATTGTTGGAAAAAACTACCTGGTTCACTAATGTCCTTTAGGGAAGGAAACTGCCATCCTTACCTGGTCTGGCCTACATGTGACTCCAGACCCAGAGCAATGTGGTTGACTCATAAC